ACTGCTCCTGTCATCGCGAATGTGAATGCGTATGTCACTGTCGATGTTCCTGCCCTCGTCATCGCCAACGTGAATGCTGGTGTCACTGTCGATATCACTGCCCATGTCACTGCCAATGTGAATGCCGATGTCACTGTCGATGTTACTGCCCACGTCATCGACAAGATGAATGCCGAAGTCACTGTCGACGATACTTCCCTCGTCAGCGCTAATGTGAATGCCGATGACACTCTCGACGTTACTGCAATTCACACTGCCAATGTGAATGCCGTTGTCACTGTCGATGTTACTGCCCATGTCATCATCAATGTGAATGTCCATGTCTCTGTCGATGTTACTGACCTCATCAGCGCTAATGTGAATGCCGATGACACTGTCGACGTTACTGCACTTCACACTGCCAATGTGAATGCCGTTGTCACTGTGGATGTTACTGCCCATGTCGTCATCATTGTGAATGTCGACGTCTCTGTCGATGTTACTGACCTCATCAGCGCTAATGTGAATGCCGTTGCCACTGTCGACGTTACTGCCCTGGTCATCGCCAATGAGAATGCCGATGACACGGTCGACGATACTGCACTTGTTATCGCCAATGTGAATTCCGTTATCACTGACGACGTTACTGCACTTCTCATTGCCAATGTGAATGCCGTTGTCCCTGTCGATGTTACTGCTCATGTCATCGCGAATGTGAATGCCGATGTCACTATCGATGTTACTGCCCATGTCAACGTTAGTGTCTTCATCAATGTGAATGTCGATGTCTCTGTCGATGTTACTGACCTCGTTAGCGCTATTGTGAATCCGGATGTCACAATCGATGTTACTGCACATGTCACCGCCAAAGTGAATGCCGATGTCACTGTCGATGTTACTGCCCATGTCAACGTCAGTGTCATCGTCAATGTGAATGCCGATGTCTCTACCGATGATACTGCCCTCGTCAGCGCTAGTGTGAATGCCGATGTCTCTGTCGATGTTACTGCCAACGTCATCGACCAAGTGAATGCCGATGTCACTGTCGATGTTACTGCTCATGTCACCGCGAATGTGAATGCCGATGTCACTGTCTATGTTACTGCCCTCGTCATCGCCAGCGTGAATGCTGGTGTCCCTGTCGATATCACTGCACAAGTCACTGCCAATGTGAATGCCGATGTCACTGTGGACGCTACGCCCCATTTAAACGTCAGTGTCATCCTCAACCTGAATTTCTATGTAACTGTCGATGTTACTGCACTCGTCAGCGCTAGTGTGACTGCCGATGTCACTGTCGATGTTACTGCTCATGTCACCGCGAATGTGAATGCCGATGTCACTGTGGACGCTACGCCCCATTTAAACGTCAGTGTCATCCTCAACCTGAATTTCTATGTAACTGTCGATGTTACTGCACTCGTCAGCGCTAGTGTGACTGCCGATGTCACTGTCGATGTTACTGCTCATGTCACCGCGAATGTGAATGCCGATGTCACTGTGGACGCTACGCCCCATTTAAACGTCAGTGTCATCCTCAACCTGAATTTCTATGTAACTGTCGATGTTACTGCACTCGTCAGCGCTAGTGTGACTGCCGATGTCACTGTCGATGTTACTGCTCATGTCACCGCGAATGTGAATGCCGATGTCACTGTGGACGCTACGCCCCATTTAAACGTCAGTGTCATCCTCAACCTGAATTTCTATGTAACTGTCGATGTTACTGCACTCGTCAGCGCTAGTGTGACTGCCGATGTCACTGTCGATGTTACTGCTCATGTCACCGCGAATGTGAATGCCGATGTCACTGTGGACGCTACGCCCCATTTAAACGTCAGTGTCATCCTCAACCTGAATTTCTATGTAACTGTCGATGTTACTGCACTCGTCAGCGCTAGTGTGACTGCCGATGTCACTGTCGATGTTACTGCTCATGTCACCGCGAATGTGAATGCCGATGTCACTGTGGACGCTACGCCCCATTTAAACGTCAGTGTCATCCTCAACCTGAATTTCTATGTAACTGTCGATGTTACTGCACTCGTCAGCGCTAGTGTGACTGCCGATGTCACTGTCGATGTTACTGCTCATGTCACCGCGAATGTGAATGCCGATGTCACTGTGGACGCTACGCCCCATTTAAACGTCAGTGTCATCCTCAACCTGAATTTCTATGTAACTGTCGATGTTACTGCACTCGTCAGCGCTAGTGTGACTGCCGATGTCACTGTCGATGTTACTGCTCATGTCACCGCGAATGTGAATGCCGATGTCACTGTGGACGCTACGCCCCATTTAAACGTCAGTGTCATCCTCAACCTGAATTTCTATGTAACTGTCGATGTTACTGCACTCGTCAGCGCTAGTGTGACTGCCGATGTCACTGTCGATGTTACTGCTCATGTCACCGCGAATGTGAATGCCGATGTCACTGTGGACGCTACGCCCCATTTAAACGTCAGTGTCATCCTCAACCTGAATTTCTATGTAACTGTCGATGTTACTGCACTCGTCAGCGCTAGTGTGACTGCCGATGTCACTGTCGATGTTACTGCTCATGTCACCGCGAATGTGAATGCCGATGTCACTGTGGACGCTACGCCCCATTTAAACGTCAGTGTCATCCTCAACCTGAATTTCTATGTAACTGTCGATGTTACTGCACTCGTCAGCGCTAGTGTGACTGCCGATGTCACTGTCGATGTTACTGCTCATGTCACCGCGAATGTGAATGCCGATGTCACTGTGGACGCTACGCCCCATTTAAACGTCAGTGTCATCCTCAACCTGAATTTCTATGTAACTGTCGATGTTACTGCACTCGTCAGCGCTAGTGTGACTGCCGATGTCACTGTCGATGTTACTGCTCATGTCACCGCGAATGTGAATGCCGATGTCACTGTCGACGCGACTGCACTTCTCATCGCCAATGTGAATGCCGTTGTCACTGTCGATGTTACTGCCCATGTCATCGCGAATGTGAATGCGTATGTCACTGTCGATGTTCCTGCCCATGTCATCATCAATGTGAGTGTCCATGTCTCTGTCGACGATACTGCCCTCGTCAGCGCTAATGTGAATGCCGATGACACTCTCGACGTTACTGCCCTCGTTATTGCCAATGTGAATGCCGATGTCACTGTCGACGC